TGTAGCATAGTATTGCGCACACTGTGCTCTTCTCGTCGCCCTGGCCATTGGAAACAATATCAAAGGAATGATGGGAAATCAGAAGAATTAGAGAAGTCAAATCGGGTACAGAGTTGGTGCGAGCTCAACATATGTGAAACTCAAACAAAATATTTTAAAATCTCTCAGGTTTTGTGGAGATTCCTCAGTATAGTCATATATGTAGTTACATCAGAAGTGTGCTTCCAAACGACGGCCAACCTGGTTCAGCTTCCTGTTGAACAGCGTCACGTGGAATGGACTGAGAGTCATGGGACGTCCAAAGTGTGTATGTGTCTTTTTTTTAAAGAAAACCTCAAAGAGAACGTAACAATGTGGTTTGGTGCGGAGTGTTTTGGAGAAGCTTACCCGTACACATCTTTTGGTGTAACCTTCACTTAAACTAATCTTCGGAAGGCTTCAATAATTGCTCATAAAATGAGACACTGATAGCTTTCAGACATTTTAATTAGATTATTTAAAGTCATAGCTATGGAAGCTTGTGTCAATTAGCAAGTTAGCTTTTTAAATAGGCCAAAGATGTTGCTACACCCAGGCTATATTCCAAGCCTCCAAAATTGTTCTGAAAATTTTCACGGCATTAAAAAAATCGCCAAAAGATTATGCACCAACCTAATACATGATCCATTACCTTGAAAAACATATACTGTCTTGATATTCAGCCTCACAATGAATAGCTATGATTTAAAAAAAGAACGTTCATGGATTTCACATCTGCGCCAATTTTCGCACTCTATCTATCTTCTCTGGGAAAGAAGCTATTTCCGTAAGGCAAGTCGCCAAAAAGTATCTTTTTGCTGCACCCTCGCAAAAATCCACCACAGGACCCTTTTCACATAATAAATTTGGCTAATGCTTTCATTGATCATTGAAAAGAGTAAATCTATCATTTCATAGTGCTCCACTCCTTTTTACCAACTGGGCGCTTCAGAAGAAACTTATGACTGCCGAAAGTGTAAAAACTCGCATGTTCAAAAAGTTTCCTAGTTGTTTTGGCAAAAATCCTCAAAATGTCTTTCTGACATACTGACATATCTGACATTTCTGACATACCGGATGCCTTGACAACCGTTGTGAAGACCAAATCTTATTTGTGGCGCTTATTTCTCTCTCCCGATTGGATACTTATGGAGAAAGTGCTGGCTTGTAAAAATGCGAAAAGTTCGAATGTCGTCAAAATTCTCTTTTTGACTTTGCTGTCAAGCGTTATTTGTCATTATGCTGCGAGAGTTCAATACCTTTCAGCCTTATCGAAATAGTAATTTTCAAATCTTCCAGATTTCCATACCGTCCTTTCTCAAAAAAAAACATTATTTATTTTTTTATTTATTTATGCGTAGTGAACGCGCTGATCCGTGACAATACTAGGCTGGAGAGGTTGACCGAGCGAGATAATTTTAAATTATTACCTTTAAATTATAACCATTTGAAAGTGACAACAACTTTCATCGATTCTGCTTCGGGGTGCAAGCACCCTCAGGCCCATATACAAGTTGTGGAGGACTGTCGTCTGCGTAGGACTGTGCGCAGCAGTCCTCCCTATTGGTGAAGAGGGGAGGGATGGGAGGCACGCACTCAAATATTTTTCTCGAGACTTCGCTTGATCCGCTTTCAATTCCATGCTTTTTTCCCTCCACGCCGACTACAACCGGAAAATGGTGAAAACAGTGATCGTGATCACTGGAGAGTATTACGGTTTTAATCACGTCATTGAACGTCATTGGTGGACTAGACTTCATCGCGCTGGGATGCAGTTGGAATCGTCTCTTAACGCCTTCCAACCAATGACGCCCAACCAGCTCACTATCACCATCACGCCCTTCAGTCATCGTAATCACTGTCTTTAGGTGAAAATGCATACCTGAAGAGTCCTACGCAGCAGCCTCGCCAGAGAATATGGAACTCTCCATTATTGATTAAGAAGTTCGTACCGGTAGGACAAACGCCGAAATTACAAGCTCGCTTATCTTCGTTCCTGGAAGAAAAAGCGTTTTAAAATCATGACGCAGTCATGCTTAAATGTTTCACTTGTAGGTATTCAGAAGAATACGCAACATACAGGCACAAACAGCGTGATTGACCATGTATTCAATCCCTATTCAAAAAGCTTCATTGTATTTGAAATATGTGATGACCTGCCTGGACCAGCTAAAGTGGGAAAAAAGTGTCCTACTCTTCCGGTTGAAGCTGCTACCAACTATCAGTGAAAGAAGGAAAGGCTTAGCCAGCCTGGTTGAGATTCGATCCGGATTTAAGCCGATACCATGTGTGCGGTTCGTACAGGAACGAAATAAAGTTGCCATCCGAAGGGTGGATGTTGATGGATGAGTGCAAGATGGCGATTACAGTTCAAAACTTGTAACCGGCGACTTCGCTGACCTATTAAAGCAACAATCCCAGGACGAATTTGCGGGGTAAATACCGTTGATAATGTAGTTATAGGCGACAATTTGACCGACAGTGACGAAAAAACCAAAGAAAAACGCCGAACAGGGCTTTAAACAGGGACTCCCCTTCTGCCGCTCAGCGATGTGGGAAGACGCGCGTTGGACGAGTTGTCTGAACTTGCCCCACTAATGCGCTCCAGTTGCATAACACTAACATAATTACATAACACTATACATAACATAACAACATCACAACAACAAAAAAAGAAACAATTCCAGTGCAACAGGCAGGATCACATTGATTACTTTAAAGGACAGAGTTCAAATACTCCCTGTGGTCCCAAAACGAGCACGAATGCCTCCGTAGCCAATCACGGCTGGCAAGTGGGCGGTCCCGAAGAAATTCCAACCACACCCATCTTTGAGGAGTTTAACGCCCTTTTTGGCTTTTCCCAGGTGAGTTTTCTTTATAACTACACTTTAGATGTTCTCCAATAGGGCCTGTGCATCCTTTAGTGCCATTAGTATTGAAAGAAGCAGACCCTGCTGGGACTGTTGCTTTAACTCGATGGGGATTCACTGGCGGCTATTCCGCTGGCCAGTGTGATACTGAAATGGATATTGTTTGCTGAACACGAATGAAAGTGTTCTTCTACATCTTATACTGAGGACTATTCCACGGTTGAGCCACAAAGACCTATACCTTTCATTGATAGTACAGGGTTATCGACAAAAGCAGCATATGAAATTTGTATCTCAGGGATGTGCACTGCAAGCAATGCAAGGGTTCGAGCCTCCACGTGTTAGCACCTCTCTCCCTCGTTCTCTTCACTGTCTTTCGTTCATTCTCTTCGAAGTCGAATGTCTCTTTGTCGTAGTGTTGTTCTCCTCACAAAAATAGCTCTTTTTGCGCCCTTTTTCTTTCTCTTTTTACGACTTTTTGCGGTCACCTTCTCTACACTTAATCACTTGTCGGTTCAACGACTCTAGAATCGTTTAAAAAACAATAAAGATCTGTGATCGTGGGATGTGCCTTCAACCTCGGATTCAACAAGGTGTTGCAAAAAAGCTGTACAATTTCAAGCACATTGGCCCAAAAAAAAAAAAAAAAAAAAAAAAAAAAAAAAAAAAAAAAAAAAAAAAAAAAAAAAAAAAAAAAAAAAAAAAAAAAAAAAAAAAAAAAAAAAAAAAAAAAAAAAAAAAAAAAAAAAAAAAAAAAAAAAAAAAAAAAAAAAAAAAAAAAAAAAAAAAAAAAAAAAAAAAAAAAAAAAAAAAAAAAAAAAAAAAAAAAAAAAAAAAAAAAAAAAAAAAAAAAAAAAAAAAAAAAAAAAAAAAAAAAAAAAAAAAAAAAAAAAAAAAAAAAAAAAAAAAAAAAAAAAAAAAAAAAAAAAAAAAAAAAAAAAAAAAAAAAAAAAAAAAAAAAAAAAAAAAAAAAAAAAAAAAAAAAAAAAAAAAAAAAAAAAAAAAAAAAAAAAAAAAAAAAAAAAAAAAAAAAAAAAAAAAAAAAAAAAAAAAAAAAAAAAAAAAAAAAAAAAAAAAAAAAAAAAAAAAAAAAAAAAAAAAAAAAAAAAAAAAAAAAAAAAAAAAAAAAAAAAAAAAAAAAAAAAAAAAAAAAAAAAAAAAAAAAAAAAAAAAAAAAAAAAAAAAAAAAAAAAAAAAAAAAAAAAAAAAAAAAAAAAAAAAAAAAAAAAAAAAAAAAAAAAAAAAAAAAAAAAAAAAAAAAAAAAAAAAAAAAAAAAAAAAAAAAAAAAAAAAAAAAAAAAAAAAAAAAAAAAAAAAAAAAAAAAAAAAAAAAAAAAAAAAAAAAAAAAAAAAAAAAAAAAAAAAAAAAAAAAAAAAAAAAAAAAAAAAAAAAAAAAAAAAAAAAAAAAAAAAAAAAAAAAAAAAAAAAAAAAAAAAAAAAAAAAAAAAAAAAAAAAAAAAAAAAAAAAAAAAAAAAAAAAAAAAAAAAAAAAAAAAAAAAAAAAAAAAAAAAAAAAAAAAAAAAAAAAAAAAAAAAAAAAAAAAAAAAAAAAAAAAAAAAAAAAAAAAAAAAAAAAAAAAAAAAAAAAAAAAAAAAAAAAAAAAAAAAAAAAAAAAAAAAAAAAAAAAAAAGAAAAAAAAAAAAAAAAAAAAAAAAAAAAAAAAAAAAAAAAAAAAAAAAAAAAAAAAAAAAAAAAAAAAAAAAAAAAAAAAAAAAAAAAAAAAAAAAAAAAAAAAAAAAAAAAAAAAAAAAAAAAAAAAAAAAAAAAAAAAAAAAAAAAAAAAAAAAAAAAAAAAAAAAAAAAAAAAAAAAAAAAAAAAAAAAAAAAAAAAAAAAAAAAAAAAAAAAAAAAAAAAAAAAAAAAAAAAAAAAAAAAAAAAAAAAAAAAAAAAAAAAAAAAAAAAAAAAAAAAAAAAAAAAAAAAAAAAAAAAAAAAAAAAAAAAAAAAAAAAAAAAAAAAAAAAAAAAAAAAAAAAAAAAAAAAAAAAAAAAAAAAAAAAAAAAAAAAAAAAAAAAAAAAAAAAAAAAAAAAAAAAAAAAAAAAAAAAAAAAAAAAAAAAAAAAAAAAAAAAAAAAAAAAAAAAAAAAAAAAAAAAAAAAAAAAAAAAAAAAAAAAAAAAAAAAAAAAAAAAAAAAAAAAAAAAAAAAAAAAAAAAAAAAAAAAAAAAAAAAAAAAAAAAAAAAAAAAAAAAAAAAAAAAAAAAAAAAAAAAAAAAAAAAAAAAAAAAAAAAAAAAAAAAAAAAAAAAAAAAAAAAAAAAAAAAAAAAAAAAAAAAAAAAAAAAAAAAAAAAAAAAAAAAAAAAAAAAAAAAAAAAAAAAAAAAAAAAAAAAAAAAAAAAAAAAAAAAAAAAAAAAAAAAAAAAAAAAAAAAAAAAAAAAAAAAAAAAAAAAAAAAAAAAGGCAACGATTGAATTTTATATGAAATTTCGAGAGTGAATACTTCAGGAATGGCTTTCATAAGGCTCTCACAGTGAGTAGGATAAGGAATTTATCACTAAAAGGCATGGATCACGATCAGATCCTAGGTGCAGTTCTCTCCTTAGTCAGATAGCAGAGCCCCCAAGCACAAAACTCGTAGCAATATCGCGACATGGGCGGTAAGGTGTTGCCTTGGCCATTTCACTGCCGCCTTTTAATTCGTCCACTGCATACCCGATGTCAGCGTCTTCGCTTATAACGAGCTCTCTCGCGTATTCCCTGTCCTCTTCGTGAAATGTCTCTTCAGCGCAACACTGTCGTCCGTCACAAGAAAAGGAGATTATTGATTCGGTGTTTTCTACACCTCCAATTTCACATTCTAGCGGAGCGGTCACCTATTTCAAGTACTAACTACACATATTTGGTGATCCCACGTCGCAAATTCTGCTATAAGGATGATTTCTCTAAGTAAACTTACAACTGGGCGGAAGTGGTAGTGGCAAGTGGCACGCTTACCACGCGAGCGGTCCGGGATCAAATCCTGGGTCGTGAGTCGCCCGGGCCAACCAAGCCTTCCATCCCTCCGGGGTCGGTTAATTGGTACCAGACTTGTCTGGGAGGATAAAAACACTGACTTGTACATCGGCTGGCCCCCGCAAGTCATTGTATAGGCCACATCGCATTCAAACGCCACTACGAATGTACAAATGGAAGTAGAATGCGTGCCGCATCCCAAAAAGGGATTGATCAACGGCAAATGCTTTATCCTTTTTATCCTTTGAACTTACAACTACAAAAAAATACCTCACCGACACTCTGTCTTCTGGCACTGTCTCGTTCTGACTCGATGCCCACATCCTCCACACTGCTGAGGAACACTCTCCCACCCATTCGGACCAGTCTCCACAGTTGCACCCTGAAAACATCGGAGCATGTTGTCAAAACCGATCAAAGGTCCGTGACAAATGCACCAGAACTCGCACACACGGCACCAGTTTACGGTATAGGCCATGTATTCATTCACAAGCCATTGCGATTATGAGTGAAAGCGAGCGCACGGTGCGTCTTAACGTAGATTGGTTAATGCTGAGCAATTTATCCCCTCTGCATATCGACACGGCAGGACATATCTATATCTGCGTCAATAGAGGTAAACCTGCGAAGACTGGTATAATGAAGGAAGCCGGGTTAGCTGTACCGAAACCAACAAGTTCTAAAAATCGCCTTAACCGCTTGCCTCATCCTCCAGTCCTCCTAACCACAGAAGAGGTGAACTGACCTCCTGGTCCATGATTTGTTGGCGCTTCTGTGGTTTCAGGAATTGGCGTACGAGTAACTGGAGTGTGAGTGATTCTGAACAGACCAACAAGTAATCAAAATGAAGCAAGATTACGAAATTTTACAAAATAACATGTACAAAGTGCACTATTGACGTACGACTGTTGCTTAGTAGCAGGAAACAGAGTGAAAATCGGTACGCCTGCAGTTGTCGTCGGTGAAGGTGTTGTGGTCCGGAGCCTTTCCCACTTCTGTAAAAAACATTCAAAGGCTCTAGCATAAAGAGAAGCATCGAACGCTCAATAGATCACCAACACTTGCTGATCCAACTGTCCTCGCAGGAGCAGATTTTGTAGTCGGTCTCCTTGTTGTTGTACTGGTGGTGGTGCGTTCAGTTGTTGTGGGAGCGGCAGTGAGAACTAACAATGGGAAGACATCCTTTGTAGTTTTCATCTCTGGCACATCCGTGAATGTTTGTATCGACTTGGGTAATGACGTTGTAGACTGAAACTGGTAGTAAGGTCACTTCTGTGGCTGCAAAGCTACAGCCCTGCCAAGGTTCCACAAAAATGGGATAACCAATCCAGCCTAAGGAAACCCACTTCAATTGGATCCATGACATCCGACCAAAACCTGGCACGAAATCCGCTATAACCACCGACGAAAGCCCTCATGATGACTAGCATCTCATTATCAAAGGAAGCATAACGCTGAGAAGGAATTGCCGAACAGCAATGTCTGAAAAGGAAGCTCAATGGATAATTCGTACCACAGTAGCTACACGAAGAGTCAAATATCTGTTGGGCAACTACAGGCGAAAGAATTTTTTTCTGATGTTGGACGGGAAGCGTAGCAGAGCCCTATCCGCGTACGACGCGCCTGCTCTGTCACCATCTAACTCAAACCGTTAAGTAAAGGGACGTTAGGCATTGAAGAGAGTAGCACCGATGAGAACTTGCATCGATGCGGAGATCGACGGGAAAGGAGGGAGCCTCTTGGTTCTGGGCCGTTTTTTATGGTTCTCTCTTGCTCCCTGCACAGTGATTACTTCTACTTGATTACTAGTGGGCTATCCTTTCGTCGTAACTTTCGCCTTCAAGGAAGGACTTCTCTTACAACATTCAAGACTTCGTTCCAGAGTACCCTACCTTATCCCGCTCTCGAAATGACTTTTTCCGAAGATGAAAGTTTCTCGGAGTTAGCGTAGAGGTGGAATACCATATGGAGGCCTTGATAGGGTAGTTGAGAATCCCCATTAGGGAGGGGGAGGTTGTAGGATTCCGAAATTCTCCCATAGCAATCGCTAACCTTGGCTATAGACGATAGTAAACACGCACTGCAGAGCCTATGTGAGATATTTTCACTTCTGCATCTGATGAAACACAAAGGAAAAATTGTGCAAGTCTAACTAAAGCCAGTGTGCAAAGTTCAATGCATGAAAATCCAGTTTGCGAAAAGAAACCAGCTC